GGAGTAAGAGCCCAGGAGAAGGAAATTTGGGCAGAGGGAGGGGCAGGCAGCAGGAAGAGCATGCGCCTAAGTCCCCAGCGTGGCCTGTTCTAGAAATAGAGAGGCCTGGGTTCCAGGAGGCTTGTGAGTAGTGCTGAGGTTTGGGCTTTATCCTAAGGACATGGAGAGCCATGAGAGTCTGAGCAAGGGAGTGACATGGGGATGGGGCTGGATTAGGGCATGGCAGGGGAGATGGAGTGTGCAGATTCAAGGGACATTTAGGAGGTGAGACTAGCAGGACTTGGTCACCCATTTGAGGTGGGGCTGAGGGAGGAGGAGGCAAGGGTCATGTCTAGGCTTCTGATTGGGGCAGTTGGGAGTGGTGGGGTTATCGGCTGCAGCAGGGGCCGTGGGAGGTGGAATAAGGTTTTGAGGGAAGATAATGAGTGGGGCTCAGTGCTGACATGCTGGACTTGAGATGCCTGTGGCCTTCCAAGCACAGGTGCTCACTACCAAGTTGCCTTTCTGGGTTTGGAACCTGGGGGCAGCTGTGGGAAGGAGCTAGAGAGTGGGGCAATGCCTCTGTAGCAGAGGCAAGGCAGGCGCCCAGGGAGAGCCTGGGACGAACCCTCAGGAACCCCTGATGTTTCAGGCACAGATGCAGGTAGAGTCAGAGTCTGATGAGCGGCCGCCAACGAGGTAGCAAGCACCTCCAAGAAGATGCCTAGTGCCTAGGGGAAAGAGCACCCCAGAGGCGGGTGAGGATGTTGCTCTGGTGCTGTCCGGAAGGGTCTCTCCCACCCTGCTGCCCCCACTTACTCCATCTGCTCTTTCTCTTTCAGATCAATAACTACTTGACGGTGCCAGCCCACAAGCTGGACTCGCCCACCATGTCTCGGGCCCGCATCGGCTCAGGTAAGGCGGACTGGGGGTACCCAGAGAAGGGCCTTGGGCTGGGCTGTCAGTGTCACCGCTTCCTGAGGCTGAGGCTGCGGCAGGCACAGGACTCAGAGAGCCAGCAGGGAGGACCAGCTTCTCCCTCCTCGACCTCCTCCCAAGCCAGGAGCTTCCACAGTAGGGGACAGAAGAATGGCCCCGCTGTCATCCCCAGGGATGGAGGTGTTCCTCACCATCAGGGCTGTGGATGCAGACAGGGAGACAAGAGGGGTCCATACCGCTGGGATCTCCAGCACATGCAGGGGAAACGCAGGCAGGCCTTGTCTAGGGGGGCCATGGGGCAGACAGCGACTCAGGAAAGAGACCTAATTCTTCATCTGAGGAGGGACACTCCATGGGAGCCCCTAGTCTGAGGAGGGGAACACAGTCCTACCTTTGAGACCCTGTCTGAGGGGAAAAAGGCTCATGGAGAAGTCATTCTGAAACATATCAAGACCACCATGCTCACAGGAAGGTTCTGTGGAGTGGCTGACCAGGCTAAGGGGAGTCATCTTGCAGGTGGGGGCACAGGCTGGGCAGAGCTCAGGGGTGGAACCCAGCCTTTGTCTTGCTTTTCTTGGTCCCCAGACCCGCTGGCCTATGAGCCAAAGGCAGATCTGCCTGTTATCACTATCGACCCAGCCTCCCCACAGTCGCCCGAGTCTGTGGACCTGGTGAACGAGGAGCTAAAGGGCAAGGTGATGGGGCTGAGCCGGGATCCTGCGAGGGTGGCCGAGGATGATGAGGAGGATGACGGGGGCATTGTGATGCGGACCAAGGAGCCCTCATCCCCAGGCACTGATGATGTCTTCACCCCTGGGCAGAGTGACAGTCCCAGTTCCCAGAGAATACAGCGCTGCCTCAGTGACCCAGGCCCCCACCCTGAGCCTGGGGAGGGAGAGCCCTTCATCCCCAAGAGGCAATAACACTGGGGCTGGTGGGCAGTGCCCGTACCACCACAGACTCTCCCACCAGAGCAGGGGCTGCTGGGGGAGCTGGGGGGCTCCCCTCGCCTGACCTGACCTAGGCTGGCCCTGTCCCACCCCCACCGCATGGCAGCTGGGCCCACAGCCCCCGCCGCAGCACGGCTTCCCCCAGCCTTCTGGGAAGCAGCCTCCCACCCCCAGAACTGCCTTCCCAATCCATTTGGCAGAACTGCTGGGGCTGGTGAGGTAGACCCCACCCCTGCGCCCACCCAGATCCAGGCGCTCTCCCATACCCAGACTAGGGGCCTCTGAGGGTGTCCCAGGCCTCAGAGTCCCCTCCCTGCCCCCACACCACTCCACCAGCCTCATCATTCAAGCCAATCTTAGTTCCTAACCAAAGAGCCTCTGGCTCAGCCTTGTCCCACCCAGGAAGGGAAGGAGCTGAGGCCTCCCTTGGCCTAGGCCATGTCCTCCTTCACGGCGGAAACACTAGGGCATCAGGTATGTGGCCAAGTGACGGATTGGTGACCCATGGCAGGGCCACTCCTGCCAGCTCTGTCACCTGGCCAGCCACCCCCACCTGTCCTCACTCAGAGCTGTGGGCTGAGGGCAGCCTGAGCTGCTCTGGCTGGAGCTGGGGTGCTCTGGACAGTGAGGTGACGAACGCAGAGCTTCCCACCCTGTGTTCCTGCTGGTGCCGCAGGCTCTTCAGGGGCTGCTGCCAGGGAAGGGGCTGTCAGGGAGCTCCAGAACGTCCTACCTTTCTGTTTTGTTTGTTCACACCTCCATGTGTGATTTTGTTTGCACAGAGGGCACTCCTGTTTTTTAAACATTTTTACACCTCTGTCTTACCAGAGCTTTCCCCCCTAACTCACTCCTCCTGCTCCAGAGAATTACCCGCTCCCCATCTGTGCCTGTGTGTCCAACACCCTCCCCCCAGATCGGTCCTCTGCCTCATGGACTCTCAACTATGGCCCAAATGGTTCTGATTTCAGAAGTGACCTCCCCGCCCTGCAAATCATGATTCTCTCCCATTTCACAGATTCCGGGCCTTCCGGCACCTTCTTTTTTCTCTATTCTTTCTCACTTACCCCACCACTGGGTTAGCCCCTGGGATTCTCTCTCTTATGTATACCCATACCCAGCTTGCTGTGGAGCCCAGTCATTGGGGGAGAAGGCCTCCCTTGAGGATCTGCCTCAGCCAGGGCTGGTGGGTTGGACAGAGTCCTGGGCCCCCAGAGGCCTTTTGCTGACTGGCACACACTCCCTGCTCCACCTGGGCCAGGCCCAGGCCTATTGGTGTCTGCCCTTTCTCCCCAGGGCACCCCCTTCCCAGGATCGTGCAATAGTCAGAGTGCCCCTCTTCCCAGTAGACTGGGCAGTGGGTCCACCCCCTCTCCCTGCAAGTGCTGTTTTGGGCAGGAGTCACCACACAAGGGTGATGTCGACAACAATGTACAAAGCCACTGCAGCTGCTGCCGCTCTGCCACCTGCCTGTACAGAAGAAACTGAATCTTTTTCATATTCTAATAAATCAGTGTGAGTTTTTAATAGAGTCGAGGACTGCTTCCTGGGGACCAGGGGCTTTGGGGAGGAGGGTGGCCTGGGGGCCTGAAGTACTTAGCTCAGTGGCTGACACAGAGAAACACTTAATAAATGTCAGCTGCTGGGGTGGTTATCACTGTGTGCCAGGCTCCAAAGATGCAGCAGTGAGCAAAGCAGGATGCTCCCTACCCTTAGGAGCTCTCAGTCTGGTGGAGAAGAGCAACTGTCATCAAACAGTATCAGACATATACAGTATCTGAAGGAAAAGGGCAGGGTACAATGAGGGGGAATAATAGGGGCAGGGGAGGAGGAGGACTTTTCTGAGTAAATAATGTCGTAGGAGAGGCCTGAAGGATATGCCAAGGTTAACCAGGTGAAGAAGGTTCCAGAGAGTTACCAAATAATCCAGACTGGGAGCTGCACCTGTGAAGGCCCTAGGACCTGAGAAAAGGTAGGTGTGGCTGGGTCTCAGTGAAGCAGGGCTGGGGCCTTGTAGGTGTGGCTGGGTCGCAGTGAGTCTGGGCTGGGGACTTGTAGGCGTGGCTGGGTCAGAGTGAGGCAGGGCTGGGGCCTTGCCATCCAAGGTTAAGATTTTGCTCTTTATACTAAGGACTGTGGAAAGTCATTGAAGCCTCCGGGCTTGTGTTCTCACCTGTAAAATGGGGACAAAACCCCTGGATGAAATACATTTAGGTGTGTAATGGCCTCAGTACAGTGGTGTGACCAATGGGCTTAGTTAACCCTTTCATGCATTAAATTTTTTTGGAATTTCTTGATGATGTGATGTTTTTTTACTAACGGAATGGATGCTGAATCATTGCTGGTAGTTTTTTTATTATTTGGAAAAGTGGGGTGTCAGTTGCAAGTGGGACATATCAGTCCCATGTTCCATGAAGCACACCACACAGGTGGGACATATCAGTCCCATGTTCCATGAAGCACACCACACAGGTGGGACACCGCAGTCCCATGGCCCAGGAAGTGCATCGCAAACTCTTTTCACCCCAAAAATAACTCATTTACTTGAATATTTCCAAATACCAGTAACCGTGCCTTCCCAATAACATAAAGGAAATAGTAAGCATATTTGCAAGCCTTATCTCACTGTACAGAAGCCAAAAGATGCAAGTTTTTTTTTACACAATCACTCCTTCAAGAAGCGTCCCCTCATCCAAATGGCTCTCAACACTCAAATGTGGTGCAGACCAACTTCCTTGTTTTTTAGGCAGTAGCACCAACATCCGCCATGACATGAGAATGTACTAAAATGGCTCGGATGCCTGTCAATAAACCTCCAGGGGCGGAGAGTGTAACACAGGCATATATAGCCCATGGTCCAAGAAAGGGTGAAGTAGAGGCTGGACCCCCTGTGATGCATTTCCAGGAGCTGACCACCAGAGGGCAGTGGAGCCTTGATACACACTCCTGCAGGCTCCCTTTGAACTTGGGCTATCCTGGAAAGCATCTCCTTTGCCCCACCTGGGGCCTGTGTACAGAACTGCTTCGATTGACAAAATCTGAAGTAGTCGGTGCCAGAAGGATTAGGGAGGGGCTACACTGTCCATTCTTGTCTCAATTGATGTCCCAGCAGGAAGCAAAGGGAAGCCAAAGAACCAGGGCTTAGAACCGGTTCATTCTGGTTCCAACCCCTGCTGAGAATTTTGCATATCTAACAAGTTCCAGCTGGAAATGAACCCAATCAGGGCCCTGCAAAGAACCTTCAACTAAGGGATTATTTGCAGAGGTATGGGCAGGGTTAGAGGAGTTCTGGTGGCACAGTGGTTAAGCGCACGGCTGCTAACTAAAGGTCGGTGGTTCGAACCCACCAGCCACTCTGCCCAAGAAAGATGTGGCAGTCTGCTTCCGTAAAGATTACAGCCTTGGAAATCCTATGGGGCAGTTCTGTTCTGTCCTACAGGGTTGCTATGAGTCAGAATTGACTTGAGGGCAGTGGGTTTGTTTTTTGGGGGCAGGGTTAAGAACCTACCAGGATGGAACCTAGTGGTGCTCACACTACATTACAAACCCCCAGACCTGAAAGGGCAAGAGGAGGGAGCTGTTACAGGTGAGAGCTGTAACTATGGGAGAGGAACTGCCCAACAAATGCTGTGGGTATAGGTAGCAGAACGCAGCCCCCGGCCCCTGCCGGTAGGCAACCAGGAGAATAAGTGTTCTGATCCTTGATCCTGATGATGCCTCCCATTGGCCAAACCCAACTGGAAGCCAGAGAGCAAAGGAGCTCCAGAGGTGAAGTCCACACAGGCCAGCCTGCCAGTGAATGGAGCAAGTGGAGAGGGGATTTAAAGGGGAAACGGTATCTAGCAGAACCTTTCCTTTTGCCTCTCAGCATCTGTTCTTGTCCTTTTGTAAAAAACTCATGTCTCCAACCGGGGAACAAAGTCTTATCAACCACCATATCCTTGTGGAGTGGTGTCAATTCAGTCATACTTTGGAGGAAACATTCTTCCTTTGGGGAGTAGGGCTTCCAAACCCACTGAACGCAAAGTTGAGGGGATAGAAAGAATAAATTCTTCCATTAGATCGTTTGGAATAATAGTGAGAGGATCCGTCCCCATCTTCACCCCTTGGTCCCTGGACGCATGCATTTTAGCTATGAAAGAGGTGGTGATGTATACTGGCTGCTGATTTCAAGCATATACTGCATCCTGCCTGTCAACAACCCAGCCTTGCAGGGTGTTGCCTCCCAGCTGGAGCATTACGCCTTCAGCAGACTATTCTATTCAGTCAGCTGCTTCTAGGTGACAGGGCAGATTGTAACACCAGCGCATTCCATGGGTGAGAACCATTGCTGTATGTCCTTCACCATAAAATGAATTACTGGTTGTAGTAGGCAGGGTGTGGGATGGCATAGTGATAAATAAGGCATTCTGTGAAGTCCAGAAATGGTGCTGATGACAGCACTGCAGGCAGGGAAGGCAAATCCCTATCAGGAATACATATTTATTACCAAGAAGACAAGTAACTGCTCCCTTCATGAAAAACTGGTCAGTGTAGTCAACCTACCAATAAGTGGCTAGCTGATCCCCCTAGGGCAGTGTTTCTCAAACTTTTGGTTTCAGGAGCCCTTTACACTCTTCAAAATTATTGAGACCCCCAAGGGCTTTTGTTATTTTGTAGATTATATCTGTTGACAATTTACTGGATTAGAAATTAAAGTTTTTAAATATTTATTTAAAGTTAATAAACCCATTCCATTCCATACCCATGCCATCAAGTCAATTCTGGCTCTTAGTGACCCAAAGGACAGAGTAGAACTGTCCCATAGGGTTTCCAAGGCTGTAATCTTTATGGAAGCAGACTGCCACAACTTTCTCCTGCGGAGCAGCTGGTGGGTTCAAATTGCCAACCTTTAGGTTAGCAGCCGAGAACTTAACCCTTGCACCACCAGGATTTCCACCCATTACATGTGAATATAAACATAATATTTTTTTGAAAAATAATTTCAAAGCAAAAATTGTGAGAAGAGTGGCATTACTTGGCATTTTTACAGTTCTCTTTAAAGTCTAGCTTAATAGTAGACAGATTCTCAAAGCTACTTCAGCATTTATTCTGTTGTACACACATTGCATAGCCTCTGGAAAATTCCACCATACACTGGTGAGAGAGTGACCGTGAAAAAGGCAAATAATGTCTTAGTGTTAATATGAAAATAGTTTTGACC